ACTTTCTTTGTTTTTGTTACCACCTACGTATGACTGATCCACAAATCTCAATCCCCAACCCTGACCAAATCTTAGGCTTACACATATCTAATTTTCTGTAGAATGTCTTCACCTAAATTTCCGCAAAACATTTATACTCATCATGTTCAAAATAGAACACATTCAGCAAGTTTACAAGAGACAAGATCAACACATGCACATACAAATATTAATCACATTTTACATGCTAACAATGAACATGCAGAAACTGAAATTACAAACATAATACCATTTATAATTGGTTCCAAAGAAAATGAAATACTTATATATACACTTAACAAAACATATGCAGGATCTTATGATGTAAATTACAAGATGCTAATGAAAGAAACCAAAGAACACCTTAATAAACATAGAGATATGCCAATTCCATGCATTGGAAGAATAAATATAGTAAATAAAGTAAATGTATCAATTCTGCCAAAATTTATCTATAGATTTCATGCAATTTTTATAAAATCCCAGTAAGGTGCTTTGTACACAGAGAAAAATTTATTCTAAAATTTATATGAGGCTGGGCACAGTGGCTCATGTCTGTAATCCCAGCACTTTGGGAGGCCGAGGCAGGTGGATCACCTGAGGTCAGGAGTTCGAGACCAGCCTGGCCAACATGGTGAAATTCCTTCTTTACTAAAAATACAAAAAAAAAAAAAAATTTTTTTATATGAGACGTCACACACTCTGGAGTAGCTAAAAACAAATAGACAAAGAAGAAAAAGGCAGGAGGAGCCATTCTATCTAATATTAAGCCTTACAATATACCTACAGCTAACAAGGCAGTATGGTATTCATGGAAGGAAAGACACATAGATCAATGGAACAGAATAGGGAATCCATAAATAGACACATGAAAACAAATTCAACTGATTTTTGACAAAGGTATTAAAGCAGTTCAAATGGATAGCCTATCCTATAAATGGTGCTAAAGCAATGGAACATTGAACATCTGTAAGCAAAAACAAGAACCTTAAGCTAAACCTCACACCTTGTACAAAAATTAACTCAGAACAGACCATAGATTTAAATGTAAAACATAACAAAAATATTTTTAAAATAAGAGAATATCATTGGAATGGGGATCTAGGGCTAGGCAAAGTGTACTTGGACTTGACACAAGCACAATGCATAAAAAGAATCCTTTATAAATTGGGCTTCATCAAAAGGGAAAACTTTTGCTGTGCTAAAGGCCATATTAAGAGGATGAAAAATAAGCTACACATCAGGAAGGAGGGAGCTATTCAATTGTACACTTTAAATAGGTACCAGAAGAAATAGATGCTAATTCAGAATTCTGTAACCATCAAAAATATTGGCCAGGTGTGATAGCCCATGCCTGAAATCCCAGCACTTTGGGAGGCAGAGAAGGAAGATCTCTTGAGCCCAGGAGTTCAGGACCAGCCTGAGCAACACAGTGAAACCTCATCTCTATAAAAAGTGAAAAAAAAAAAAAAAAGCCAAGCATCATGATATACACCTGTAGTCCCAGCTACTTGGGGGGCTGAAGCAGGAGGATCACTTGAGCCCCGGGAGGTCAAGGCTGCAGTGAACTGTGATTGCACCACTCCACTCCAGCCTGGGTGACAGAGTAAGACTCTGTCTCAAAAAAAAAAAAAACAAAATATCGAAGATAAAATAAAAACATTTTCATATACACCATGGAATACTATGCAGCCATAAAAAATGATGAGTTCGTGTCCTTTGTAGGGACATGGATAAACCTGGAAACCATCATTCTCAGCAAACTGACACAAGAACAGAAAATCAAACACTGCATGTTCTCACCCATAGGCGGGTGAACAACGAGAACACATGGACACAGGGAGGGGAACATCACACACTGAGGTCTGTGGGGGGGAACCAGAGGAGGGACAGCAAGGGGGTGGGTAATTGGGGAGGGATAACATGGGGAGAAATGCTAGATATAGGTGATGGGCAGGAAGGCAGCAAACCACATTGCCATGTATGTACCTATGCAACAATCCTGCATGTTCTTCACATGTACCCCAGAACCTAAAACGCAATAATATATATAAAGCAATGTCTACCACAAAAAAAAACACATTTTCAGATAAACAAAAGTTGAAAAAATTCATCACCAACACTTACAAGAAATGCTAAAGAATGTTCGAGACTAAAAAGAAACAATAGAAGATGAAACATGAAATCTACAAGAAAAAAAGTGCCAGTCATAGTCAATAAGTTGATTAACATCACAAAAGATTGTTTCCTTATTCTCTTAAAAGACAATTTCTTGAAAGACAATTCACTGTTTAAATCAAAGTGGGAGTTATCATACATGTAGAAGTAAAATTTAGGACATAGCATGAAGCATAGGGAAATTAAATTGAGTTATAGACTTCTAAGGTTACTTTATTTGGAAAGTAAAAAAATGGGAAGTGCATAGTGGCAAAAGGGAGGTGAGAAGTGAGCATTGTGAAGTAGGAAGTGTTAGGTGAGAAGTGTGAAGTGGTAGATAGTGATTCTAAAGAGAATTTGATAGATTAAAGATGCAAATTATTAGCCCCAGAGCAGCCATTAAAAACACAGGAAGAGATACGGGTACCAGCAGAGGAAATACCATGAGATGCTAAAATAGCCAAACAATCCAAAAGCACACAAGAAATGAAAAACAGGGGAACCAAAAAACAGAAAATTTAAAAAACAGTGAGATGGAAGAACTAAACCATGCCATATCAACAGTTACACTGCATATAAGTAAAACACTAATGAAAAGGCAGAAAGTATCTAATTTAAAAAGCAGGATGCACCTATATGTTGCCTCTAAGAGATGCTCTTGGAATCAAATAACACAAGTAAGATTGAAAGTATAAGAATGGAAAAAAATATACCATGCAGAAAATAAGAAAGCTGGAATAGACTTCAAGGCAAAGAATACTACAAGAGATAAATGGGATGTGTGATAATAAGCAAAGAAAAAAATTCATCAAGAAGACATAACAACTCAAATGCATATAATAATATAGTTTAAAAACTTATGAGAAAAAAACTGACAAAACTAAAGGAAGAAATAAATTCATAATCAAAGTTGGAAACTAAAATATTCAGTAAATAGACAAGTAGACAAGAACAAATAGATGAAAGTATTTGTAAGGCTATAAAAGATATGAATACTGTTATCAACCAACTTGACCTGACCAACATTTCCACAACACTATACCCAATTACAACAGAATACATTTTTTAAAGCTTTCTTCTTTTAACTTTTACTTAAGGTGCAGGGGTACATGTATCTTAGGTATGTTATATAGGTAAGCTTGTATCACAGGGGTTTGATATATAGATATTTCCTCATCCATGTACTAAGCATAGTACCCAATAGGCATTTTATCTGACCCTCCTTCTCCTCCCACCCTCCAACCTCAAGTAGACCTCAGCATCTGTTGTTCCCCTCTGTGTCCATGCATTCTTGTCGTTTAGCTCCCATTTATAAATGAGAACATGCAATATTTGGTTTTCTGTTCCTGTATTAGTTTACTTAGGATAATGGCCTCTAGCTCCATTCACATTATTGCAAAGAATGGAGATGGATTATCTCGTTCTTTTTTATAGCTGCATAGTATTCCATGGTGTTTATATACTACATTTTCTTTATCCAGTCTATCATTGATGGGCATTTGAGTTGATTCCATGTCTTTGCTATTGTGAATAGTGCTGCAATGAACATACACATGCATGTGGCTTTCTGGTAGAATGATTTGTATTTTAAGGGATATATACCCAACTATGGGATTGCTGGGTCAAATAGTAATTCTGTTTTTTGTTCTTTGAGGAATCACCACACTGCTTGTTTTTTTCAAGTGCACATGGAATTTCACCAAATTGCTCACAGGTGAGGCAATAAATATCAAATAATTGAGGGGAAAATGAATTCGCCTTGTCTTATCTTCTATGCATATCTAAAAAGTTCTACAAATGGGCAGCGAGATATAGACAGGTGATACTTTGTCCCATCCATTCCTGCCCATCTTTTCAAACTCCAGTAAGCTCAAGGGTCACTACTCTCATGAAACCTTGATGAACACCACCCAAAATTGGTCCCTTAATTTGTGCCTACCTTCAAACTTCCATATTTCTTGTGACACCCACAAGGCCTTAGCACATTTTCTGCACATTTGTCTGATTATTGGTCTCCCTTTCCTAGACCACTAGACCTAAGAACAGTGATCACATATAATTCGTGTGTGCAGACCCAGCACTTAGCACAGTGCCTGTCACAGAATAGGCATTTAACAGTTGTTCATCAATGAATGCTCTTAGCAACGGTGGGATCTATTTTAAAGCAAGTATGATTGGCTTCTGTGCCTACCACCGGCCCCCCTCAAATAAAGGAAAAGTTCCAGAGAAAGACAGCATGATGAAAAATAGGCCTGAAGTAAAATATTAAAGGAAGCATAATTTTGACTGATAAGAAGAAAGAGAAGTTTTCTTAAGAATGACTTTCTGTGCCAACAGAAGATATTGCTTAGTGACAAAGTCAGAGTAAATGACCTTAGATTGCCAAACAATTCAGAGAGAAATAAGCAATAAATCCCTGTCCAAAATAGATGAAAGCAGAGGGCTCTGCAGAAAAGTTGTGGAATTTTGATACTTGATAGTTTAATAAAGTCAACAAAGATCAATTATTTTGAACAGTTAAATGTGGGTCCAGCAGAAGGATGACCTATTTGAGGATTTTTTTAAACAACAATTTTACCTATGAGTAAATAGAGACACTGCAGGGAAATGTGAAAATGATTATTAGTGTATTCTTTGCCAGGAATATTTTCGGATCACTGTTTTCCCATGATTCCCTGAGCAATCATATAGTCTTTAGATCAAGACTCTCTTTTATCTTTTGAACCTTTGGCCTAATGAAAAGCCAAAGACAAAGCAAAGGTTAAACACGTATTGCTGAAGGAATGTTTGTTAGATAGCCTAGATATTCTTCGCCAGTTTCTTTGAGTTTGAATGTGTTTATTAATAAAGGAGACAAGTTTACAGAATTCACCATTCAGGTCATCTTTCTTACCCATTATCAAATCTTTGGACACCCCAGTTGTGTGAAATAGTGGAAAACAAAACAAAACAAAACAAAAAAAACAGTTCTATGTGCTGATCTACTTGTACTTTGTCACACTGAAAAGTGAAAGTCACAATATTATATTTTGATGTGTTGTAACCTTACTAGGAAAGCAACCTGCTTTAATTCTTACACAAGAACTATTTAATGATTTATCGTATTTCTTACATAACTTCATACACATGAACTATTTGATTTATTTATCACATCTGAGAACAGATTTTTTATTTAGACTTTTCAACAGTCTGCAATGCTTTACCAATACAAATGCCTTACTAATCAACCAATATTCAGTGTCTGTCTCCACCATGTGAAAGGTTGTAAGAGCATTATTACTATGAGTTTTATACTTTAACTAGGGATTGAACCACACAGCCTGAAAAGGTGCTCTATCCTTAAGTTTCTGTGGTAGAACAGACCACATCTGGCCTTATATCAATGGCTGCACTCAGCCTCCCTGTAGAATAATACTCCTGATCCTTATTCGCCATGCTTATAAAAAGAAAATTTACTTATGAAGCCACAGCATCCAAACTACTTATCCCTGCAGCCCAAAGACTTTCTTCATCTGGAGACAGCCTAATGACAGGGCAACAAAGCATTGGGAAGTTTGAAAATTTACTTCAAAATAAACTTGCTTTAAAAATGTGGGTAATAATTGCAACTGTTAAGATTAAGCCAGGTTTGTCTCATTGTGTAGATTTCTTCCCATATCCTGCCTCCTTACTTTATGACAGTAATGATTTTGTGACTAAGACTGGTGTCATTATAATGTTCTCGGGACAGAATGATAGTCCAATGACTCATCAGCAGAAAGGGAAAATACTCAAGAAATTTAACATTATTGGTATTTGAAATATTTCAATACTGTGAATCTCTTCCTAAAAATAAGGACGACTAAATAACTTTATTCACTAATAAAAAGCCACAATCAAAACGACTGTGACAGAGTATGGAACAAATTATAATTACTTAAAGGATCATCATGATTACTCATAAAAACCTTAACATTTGCCAACCGATTTTTCTTGTCAAAATACATTGTTTCTTCTGGCATTCATACCCTCAATTTGCCCAATTGCTCTCCATAATTTTTTTTTTTTTTTTTTGGTGGCTGAGACACAAAATAATATTCAGATTCTAAAGACTTCTATCTGTAGGTATAATATTTGAGAAGTAGATGAGTACCTTTCAAAGGGAAATGTTGAGATTTGTGAGTGGGAAAGATAGGGAAAAAAAGTTACATGAGGACTTTGGCCTATGCTACGTTTTTGAGTTGATTGGGAGCTCTGGAAACAAATGACGTCAACTCTCAGCACTGCTGGTGTCTCATTTTTCTCTTGATCGTCTTTTCACTGCTTCTCATCTTCTTCCCTGCATCCATGTGTCTGTCACTTACCTTCCTCCACCCCCTCTCCCCTGTCTCCCTTTTCCTGTGCTGTTGTCTGTGCACAGCAGCTGTCCGAAGACTGTGTAGCCTTCACAGATAACTGGGTTGTGGGGTCCGCAAAAATGTGTGTCTACCCCTTTCTGTGGCACCTCTATGTAACATGAACCGTGTCCAAGATACAAGTAATTCCATCATATCTTATGCCCAGCAAGATAGAGATTCATTCACATGAGAGTTGTATAGGCACATAGCTCATCCTTAGGAAGTTGTCCATGTTTGTTTTAAATGACCATATTCATAAGCTCTCTCTTAGGTTTGAGTGTTTCCCTTTCAACATGTTTAACTTCTTCTGACTCCCTACTGGCTGTTTAGCGACCACCTGCCCCAGCACCTTAGCCATGCTTTCCTTACTCAACAACATCTCATGCTCTAAACCTCCTTTCCTCAAAATTATGCCCCATTCCCTAAGGATACTGCTAAGTGACTGAAGTTCATTTGATTGATTACTATAAACCAAGGCATTAATGATTTAAGAGATATTTGCATTTATCAGGGATTATTTGATAAGGACACTTAACATGAGATCTACCCTCTTAACAAATTTTCAAGTGCACAACATGCATTGTTGACTCTAGGTACTATGCTGTACACAGATGTCTAGAGCTTATCTTCCGTAAACGCATTCAATTGAGGTTTTCTTAAAGAAGTGGTCCAAATAGTGTCTTTATATAGTACCTACTATATGTCAGGTACCCTGTAAAATCTTGGATATTCAGAAGTAGAGAAAATACATGTGGTCCTTATCTTCATGGAGCATTATATGGAGCATTATGTGGACCTTTGAGTCAACATTGTGGAGTGGTTGTCTCCACACCATTCCAATCACATCAGGTAGGGAGAGATATATTACGTCATCACATGGACTACAAACAATCTGTAAAAGTTCATTCTGGGTAGCATTTATATTCTGGGACTCAGGATGTAACGTTGCTGGTGTTGTTCCAGCACCAACAACAACCAGGTGAATTAGACAGTTCTATTACCATTTTGCAGAGAAAATTGGCTTTACAAAATTAAATTCTCTGCCTATGGGTCATGGGACAAGCATATAACAGTATCAGGATCTGATGATGACTTTGAACACCAAGTCCAACATTGTCCACTCCACCACAGGTGCCACCTCAGATTCTCCCCAAATCCCCTTGGATATGGAGTGAGTATATTATCAGGATTTGCATGTCATCTTCAGCTTCTCATTGGATGCCCACATAATGGGAGAAATAGAATTGCAAGGCAGGTTTTAAGATCTTACTACTGAAATATCCCTATGCTAATAACATATCATTCTTACTGTGTAAATCAAGATTGACAGGCTGCTCAGCTGTGCAGCTCACCTTTAATAATTATTCATTACATTCATGAAATTGAGAGTTGATGTAGCATGAAAAATCATAGTGCTACTTTATAAATGTTATATAATTGAGTCAACAATGGCCTCTGTATATTGGGCCCTAGATTATTCCTTCACTAGAGGCAGAGACCATTAGCTCAAAAGTCTGATAGCTCCAAACTCAAATCTTTACACATCCAATTGTTAAATCAGTCCAGATCAGCATTTTTTAGCCACTTAGAGCCTGACTGTATTATGCACTCAGTAAAACTGCACCAAACATCTGCTAGCAATAGGTAAGATAAGCTCTGGGCCCTAAAGACCCAAAACTGCAGCTGCCCTTTGGAGTTGTCTGAGTCAGACTCCTCCCATGCTGCTAAATGATGTGATCTAGACATATAGCCATCTATCAAATTTCCCTCTTCCCTGGAAGTTCCCTTACCCTCCAATCCTTCTTAGCGGTGGCTCCCTGTACTTTAAATTCTGGAAGCTCTCCAGCTATGAGGGACTTGTCCTGCATGCCAACCTGTCAAAGGGAAATAAAGCTTATATGTGCTATTGCCACCTTGTGGTCATTTATTGCTTTTTAAAATCAGCCCCCAAATCCCTCAAAGCATCTAAAATAATCTAAAATTTTCGTAGGTCCATTTGAAGACACACACAACATACATACAATTCCCCAAGCAAAAGCCTGAAGTCAGTTTATTGCTTTTCATTCATGCATAGTATTTGGTAAATATTCAGTCACCACTAGTATTTTGTAACAGCAGTAGGTATAGGTGATTCTTATTTGACAATTGTGTAGCATGTGACATAGAAGTGAACTAATTCACAGAGTAGATACTAGCAGTCACATGAACTCATTAGCTTACCACTTCAAAGCTAAGAGTGCCCTCATGGGATCGGTCCTATTCTGGAAACCTTTAGAGATCACAGAAGTAGAAAGTAAAGAACATCTTGCAGTTCCAGAAAATAAAAGAAACACACACACACACACACACACACACACACACACACACACACACAAATTAAGGCTGTTTAAGCACAAAGGGCCCACTTGACTAGCTAAAGTTAGAGCAAATTGAGTCACAAAGTAAATAATGGTAGCACTGAACACACAGAATAAAATAAAAATCTATGGTTCCAAATTGTGATAAATAATAAAATAAGCAAATAGGGAAAGAAATGGCTCTTCCTCAGTAGAATTTAAATAATGTAGAAGAAAAACAAAACATAGCCGGGCGCAGTGGCTCAAGCCTGTAATCCCAGCACTTTGGGAGGCCGAGACGGGTGGATCACGAGGTCAAGAGATCGAGACCATCCTGGTCAACATGGTGAAACCCCGTCTCTACTAAAAATACAAAACATTAGCTGGGCATGGTGGTGCGTGCCTGTAATCCCAGCTACTCAGGAGGCTGAGGCAGGAGAATTGCCTGAACCCAGGAGGCGGAGGTTGCAGTCAGCCAAGATCATGCCATTGCACTCCAGCCTGGGTAACGAGAGTGAAACTCCGTCTCAAAAAAAAAAAAAAAAACATAATCACCATTAAGGAACTACCATAGCAATGGTCACAGACAAGGCACTCTCATGGCTGCAAAAATTCTGGGCAAAAGTTTGAGAAGAAATAGAATTTGCATAGTTTCGACATATTTCCCCAAGATACTTATTAACTACAAGGGGAAAAATGGTAACTTTATAGTAAAAAAAAGGCAGACACCCACTTAACCAAAGCAATCAAGGTAAATATCAATGAGAAGTCACAGAGGTTATCGACCCCTCAATATGATGCCCTGAGGACATTACAACATCATTTCTATGGCAGTCTTGCCAAAAATCCATAACCTCATTCCAACTATGAAAAAGTATCAGAATAATTCAAATTCAGAGACATTCTTTAGAACAACTGATCCAGCTGGGCACGTTGCACTCCTGCAGTCCCAGCTACCTGAGAGGCTGAGGCAGGAAGATGCCTTGAGGCCAGGAGTTTGAGGCTGCAGTGAGCCTGTGACTAGTCACTGCACTCCAGCCTGGCACCACAGCAAAACCTCGTCTCGAAGACAAAACAACAGATCAACAGTCTTCGTAAGTGTCAAGTGATAAAAGATAACCAAGGGCTGACAAACCGTTACAGACCAGAAGAGACGAGGGAGAATTAATTAAATGCAATGTGGGACTCCAGGTAGGATCTTAAAACAGAGAAAGGATGATAATGGAAAAATTGGTAAAATTTGAGAAAATGTCTATAATTAGTATTATATTGATGTTAATTTTCTGTTCTTGACCATTGTGTTATGGTTATGTAAGATGTACATATAAGGGTAAGCTGGGTGAGACATAAAGGAATTTTTAGTAAAATTTTTCTACCTTTTCTGTAAGCCAAAAATAGGTCAAAATGAAAAGTTTAATGTAATGGACTAAAATTTAAAAAGTGATTGGTCAGCGAAGCAAACACTAGGGTACTAGTCTCATAGCTGGGAAAAAAGAACTAAAAGTTAGGTGAAAGGTAGTTTTTAATCGTTTTTTGGTTCAAAAACATTGAGAAAGAGAAAAGTTCCATAATTTAACCAAAGCAACCCAAACACAAACACACACCCTAGTTTTCAGCTTAGGTTGTCTTCCTAGAGTTCCTAGTCTATCCTAAGGTCATAGGCAGGGAGTGCGATGCCAAGGACAGTTATACAGAATGGGAAATCTTATATATTTACTGTATTTTAGTTTTTGAACTTATACAGTTAGGATCGTTTTCTGGAAAGCATGCTCATTTATGATTGGTGAATGTTGAAACAGATATGGATGAATAATCAATAAAATTACATCTAATGATTATGAAAGTATAAAGTCAAATATTGTGTACATTAAAATCAGAATGTCAGTAGAGAATACTTGCTAAGGTATGTATGTTAGAGAAGGGCTTTATTATTTTGTGGAAAATAACACAAAATTCCAGGAAATTATGATCTTGCTGTTCTCACCACAAGACTATCAGTGATATAGAAAAATCGCTTTTGAAACAAATGTTTATTAGGATAAAATGGCAATCAAGTTATTCCTTCTTAATAATCAAAGGGTTTTTTTAAGACTTCAAGGAAATAATGGAGAAATTAAACAACTAGAGAACTTTAAAAGAACAGAAGAGGCTGATAATGTGAAATTCAGCCCAGATTATCTAAACAGCTTCATAACAAGAATGATACAATGTACACTCATGAGATGTACCAAAAATGGTTACCATTTTATCTTGAATATAGTGAATTACTAATTTATGTATTTAAAAAATTACCATTGTGTTACACAGATTACTGGTTCCCAATCCTGGCTATACCACGCAAAATTGGGAAGCTTTTTATAAAAATGCTTCTCATGCTCAGGTTCCATAGGCTTATGTTTGATCCTGAAACAACAGGTGGGATGGAACGAGCTCTTGTGGTACCTGTCTGAGCACTCTGGCCTGTGGCTGGGAACCCAGTGTTAGTCTTTTGAAGAAAGCCCTGAAGAGCAAGGTGAAATCTCAGCAGGTATCTCCAGGATGATCAGAAGATACAAGAGTCTCTCACCTACCTGGCTTGACACAGATGATCTCAGTGCTCTGCTTCTGAACATCATAAACGGCAGATGATAATCGGCACTTTCTTTCTCCTCACCCAGATTGCACGTGGAAGCTCTAGGTCAATTGCTCAAAAATTAATTGCTGAGTGGCCAATTCCATGAATTTACTCCAAAAAGAAAAATAATTCACTTTATCAGTTTTAATCTTATCTTTATAATACCACCCTTTTTCTATTATTACATTTATCTCTCCCAGATTTCTTTCTGCTGCAAAGACCAAAAGGACAGGTGAAGAAGAGAAAGAATAACATAGTCATGCACAAGAGCATAATCATGAGCATGAACTAGTCTCAGAAAATTTTGTGTATATAAATATATATATATATATATATATATATATACACATTTTTTTTTTTTAAACCAAACTGAACCATTAAAAGAAAGAGTAAATTTGGCTGGTGGCTTTCTATGAATTCCCCTGCTGCATGTGTATTGAGTTGGGTGTAGTCCCAGACCAACCCGTTCACTCATAAGTCCCAGGACTTTCCCCATTTGAAATCTGTCTGCTCAAGAAAGCTCCTGGTCCTTCAGGTTTGCTTATAGGGATCCATGAATTATTATTGTCTCCATCTTTAACATGACATTTTTGCAAGGCCTTGACCCCCCATAGAGTTTATCTGGCACAACTCTTTGGACACTTTGCTGGGAATAAGTCATTCTAAGACATGAGCACTGTGATCAGCTAATGTTTCACTTTCTTGTGCTTGCTCATTTCTAAGACACCTCAGAATTTCAATGAATAAAGTCACAGCAACTCCAGGACACTCCCCCTGTCCTTACTCCCCCTTACAAGTAGTAAAGCCTAACTGAATGGCGAGCATTTACAGAGACATACTTTTTTGTTTTTCAGTTTCTCAATCTTGGTATTATTGACATCTTGAGCCAGAAGTCTTTGTTGGCGGGAGGGGGCTGTCCTGTACATTAACATTTAGTGGCATCTCTGGCATCTGCCCAAGTAGAGCCAATAGCACCCCCTCCTCTGCTGTGACAATCAAACATGTCTCCAGACATTGCCAAATGTTCCCTGGGAAACAAAATTGCCCCTAGTGAAAAAACACGGAATTTCACTTTCGGTACAACAGGGAATTCTAAAAGCCTTATTTGGACTACATCACAAAGCAGCTTTACTTCACTAACATCACACAAAGATGATTGTTGACTCAAAGGATTCCATGATGGCCTATAATATGCTGGGGCATATCAGACAGCTGTGCAAAGACTGTCTGAGGCTAGGAACTTGATCTGTTGTAATCTTTATTACATAAGTCATTGTGTCTCTAGTGACCCTCAAATGACAGCCTATTTAGTTTGAGAATGCCTGCTAAGGTAAAATATTCAACATCATAGTGGATAGATTATTTCACAACTACAAATCAGTTGCCAGTTTTGTTGTTGGGGTCCAGACGCTGCTATGCAATCTAATTTATTTTCCAGTAAAAATCTTTAAAAAAAAAAAAAAAAAAAAAAAAAACGGACCAAGGGAAAGCACGCCTTGTTTTAAAGCAAGCTATACAAGCATCATCTCATCACCATCTGATGAACACTGGCAGAAACAGTATTGTGTGGGCTAAAACATAGATCCTATAGGCTCTCTATAGTTCCGTTTTTAAAGTTTGAACCCCCTTTTAAGAGTGAACGTTCAGGCTTAAGAAATTAGAAAAATATAAACTTCAGCTTTCATCACAATGTTTCTAGAATTTTTTAAATTACACTTTTAAATTCTATATAAAACAACTACTTCAAACTATGACAGAGGAGCTGGTGTTAATGTGACTGATTTTCCAAGAATATTAGGGGTAAATATCCCATTTTTTAAAATGTACCTGATAGAGTACTACTTAGAAATGTTTTAGTTTAGAGATGTTTTAGTTCATGAGAGTTTCCTTTATAATCCTGATATTTATTATATGAGGAAGAAGAAAAAATAAACCAAATGCCTGCTCCAAATCCCTACTAAGTAGAGTTTGGTTCTATTTTAAATATGTTCCTTAGCTTTGGGTTTGGGTCACCCTATTCCACATCTCCCTATAACTGCTAATGCAAAATCCCCTAAGTTTGTTTCAAATCAATCTCTACTAAAAAATCTTGGCACTTGAGATAATGAACAAGACTCACTTTCAGGACTTCTTTCCAATCTTCCCGCCTGTTCCCTTGATCTTTCTAATCCTTGTCCTGTAATTTTTAACCCAGTCTTTTTTTTGTTTGTTTGAGACAGGGTCTTACTCTGTCACCCAGGCTGGAGTGCAGTGGTATAATCTTGGTTCACTGTGGCCTTGACTTCCTGGGCTCAAGGAATCCTCCCACCTCAGCCTCTTGAGTAGCTGGGAATACAGGTATGCCCCACCATGCCTGGCTAATTTTTAAAATTTTTTTGTAGAGACAAGGATCTCACTATGTTGCCTAGGCTGGTCTCAAACTCCTAGGCTCAAGTGATCTTTCTGCCTCAGTCTCCCAAAGTCCAGTCTCCTAAAGTCAGTTTCCCTGAGACACCATGCCTGGCCTTGATCTGGTCTCTTTGTGGTAACAGAAATAGGTTGAGGGATAGGTGTGTGTGTTTAACACACAGGATATGTATGTCCCAATTTTCTTAATCTATCCTATTACACACACACATATATATACAT